GGGAAGTAGTGATAAGGACAATTTTAACCATAAATAGAAAGGCTGCAGTTGCATTCCATATTAAGCACTTATTACGTCAGCTTCCGCATTTGAAAAGAGTATAACTGTAGTAAGCAACAAGCAATAAACGGCATCCCACTTCAACCATATTGGTGTTACGTGGTTTGTCCCCTCGCGGGCTGGGGATGTCCCCGGAGGACCGACCTCCAGGTGTACACGTTTCGTTGCCGGGCCCGGAGATGGCCACGAGCCGAGACCGGAGACAGCGGCTGGCAACAGGCGGAACACACTCCACGTTGACCGGAGCCCGGATACAGCCACGAGCTGAGACCGGAGACAGCGGCCGGCAACAGTCCATATCTTGCAAACATGGAAACTATCTGAGAATAATGTCCCTATAATCCAGTACCATTTTTCTGTCTTGCCTATTCTGAGTACACAGGGGCAATAATATCTTGCATTTCGTATTTCACTAGTCTCAGTCTTTCCTAGAATCTCTCAGACCACAAATAAATAAGAGTATATATATAAAAAGAACGTAGTCTCCACAGTGCAACTTTCCTCTCTTTAAAACCTCATCTACACCAGGCAATGTTACACAATTTTCAGTGCTACCAAATGTTTAAATTAAAGCAAAAATTTCAACAAGACTTTGTCTTATGCTAACAATGAAATCTGTTTTCCTGTAGATTTAACTCACATGAGCATAAAGCTGCTACAACACTTAACAGCACCCCCTATAAAATGCCTTTAGCTCGGAATACATAAACTGCAGGATCTTGAGATCAGTGTTTCTCTTTATCCTAAGAGGAAGATAAAAAAGTCGTTCCAGATGATTTGCTCTCCGGATTCTGCATTCTCCTCACACACTGTCTATGTCTAGATCTCATCTTTGAGCATGGCAACAGCATGCCCGGGAGCTTTACTGGTATTTTAGAAAACGAAAATCTTATCTGTGAGCTACAGGTATTGGGAAGTGTCTGGTATTGGGCTATTTGTATGTCCGGAAAAGCTACCTACCCATAAAACAACATTAGCCCAGCACAGGACTGTGAAGAAGAAAAGGAATAAAACTGATTAAATAACAAAAGAGAAGAGGAAAAGGCAAGAGGAAAATCCATTTCCTCTGTGGACAGTAGCTCAGAAGAAATGATCAACAATGTTTGGTTACGGTACAAAATATTCTGCAATTCTGCAGAGTACTGCAGTTACTGGTACCAAGTACTGTAATTGCCACTAAGGTGCAAGGGTGGCGATTTGGCTTTTGGGGATAATTTAAATTTCATTTGAAAAATGTCATGTTTATTCTGCTTTCTCAGTAAAAACAAAACCAACAACAACAAAAATTACATAGAGAATTTCAAAGCACATCTTGTATCTCTGCCTTCACTTCCCAGGCAGTTTGGATAGTTTACTATCTAAAGGATGGCTCTGGTTACTAATTCCAGTAAGAGTAACCAATGTCGGCATTTGTCCTGCAAAGTCTGCTAAGGTGAGGAGAGAAAACTGCAGATGCAAAATGTAGTCACCTCTGCCTTATTCCCAAAGGAGCAAGGAAGCACCGGCAGATGTGCACAGACAGGCAGTGTGCTAATTCACTGCATTCCCTTTGCAGGCTGGGTTCCTATGAAGTGCCTGAGGGCACAGGGTGTCAAAGCTCTTACTGACAAAGACAGAAACCACAAGAAAGCAGGGAACATATATTATGAAAATACATAGCCTAGTAACACAGTGAGGCTCCACTTTGCTGAACACTCTGAATGGAAGAATAACCTATTTCCTTTTTGAAGAGCCTACAGCCCAGTTACTAACTAATGAGCACAAAGTAACTATAAAACAATTTTACACAGCAATTTAACAGTATAACAAGACATTTACGACACCCAGCAGAGGTGATATCATTTATCCCCTTTATCCCCTCTGAGCTCTCTTTCATAACCATTCTATTGTCATTCCTATCACTTTATGACTGGAATGTATTCCTTACCCGGGATATTGTCAAAGAGCTGACAGGCAGCTTTCTCTCATAGGTCCTGTCCATTAAGGTGGCCAATTCAGCTGCAGGAAACAGGAGAAAAAAAAAAAAAAAAAAGAAAAAAAAGAATGTTTAATTAGCTGAGATTATCGGAAAATCTACCGAGCTATCATATAGCTTAGAATAGACACTGTATCCATGAAGTTTAATGTGGGGTTCCCTAATAACATCTTTGGTAGTCCTCATTCAGAAATTGTATGAAAACAATACTATCAGTTACTGTTTTGTTATTTGTCAAATATTTGAAGGATATTTGAAGAAAATAAGACATGGAGAGATCTTTCAACATACTACAGCTAAAAAAAACAGAGTAGTTATGTTGAAAATTCACACTTCCTTTCAAGCTTAGCAATTGCTAGACAGTGCTTTTGGGTTGGTTTTCTTCATTTCATGGTAAAATAAAAAAAAAACAGAAACAAGCAGTACGTTCTGATAAACCTTGCAGGCACAAACAGCAATCCAAAGGAAATCCAGTTAACCAAACTGGGCACTGGCCTAGTATCTTATTAAATTCATTGCTTTATGTTCCAGTAGTCACGTAAGAATAGCAATTTGACCATGCAGGAACTTCAAGACTTTGACCATTAGACAAGTAGTCAAATATTGAATTTGATGAATACAATTTGGAGTTTTATGTTTGCATTCTTCCTGGAAGATGATGATGCCCAGGGAGAATAAGCTGCTGGCTGTAAGCTTCGTGTCAGCTGTGTACCTCGCTGCAGAGGCGCACGCTCATGGCACTCCAGCTGTAATATTTAGAGCCATCCCTCAAACCCTGCACCTCCAGCAGTAGGGACCCTAAGCATTCTCCTTGCATCCCTAGCACCTCCCTTTGCCCTGCGCTTATGGAGACTCCAGCTGCTTTTGACGCAGGAATACCCAGCCTCCTTTTACACCTCTGGACGAGCCCTATTGGCGGTGCTAGAACTGCTGGGCTGGCGAGCTTTGCAATTCGTTTTCCTCAAAGGTCACAACGGTCACCTCAGTGAAACACGAGGTGGGTGCAGTTTGCATCACCCCATCACGATCGAGCAGCTCTTGCGCTCCGGCAAAACTGGCATGGATGCGCAATCAGGAGGCAGCGTCTCTGAGGGCTGCGGGCTGCGAACGCTCTGTCTGCACAACAAACGAAACCATCATCCATCATTTGAAAAGTAGCATCCCTATCCATCATGTTAAAACAATCCAAGACCACTGCTGAATAGTAAGAAATACATGCAGCTTTAACAGTAAAAACGACATTCAGTGCTATTGTGATCTTAGAGGTGCTTTCTCAAATTACAATACTCATGCAAAGCTTGTTGCTGCAGTAAAATGTTGGCGTCTTGGGCTTGCAGTTAACTGTTAAAATCCTAGACAAATGTTGCTGTCTGCTGCATATCTGTATTTTGTATTTATATGGAATCTTCCCGAAGCATTTGGGGTGCTTTTCAAAACACGAAAGAAAACATTCCTGACACTCGCAAGTTATCTCTGGCTGAGGGAAGGCAGACAACATTGCATGATCACGAAAGGGAAATGAGATCTGGGGCAAGGACACCAGGGAAGTTTGATGAAAACAAAGCAGGATGCCGAGATGAGGTGGCCACCAAGGCCATCCAGTACCGCATAATCACTGTAACACAGAACAGACAGCTCTTTTAATGATAAAGGATTGTCAGTGGGAATATCCTTATATTGCCCTTCTCTCCACCACTCATGATGATCATGGTGGAGCATGGTTCCACGCCACACAAGACACAGCCAGACGTACTACTAGCTGGAGAGAACAAGTCTTGCAACCAAGTCAAGTTGACAAGAATGAAAGAAAGGTTAGATATTTGCATAAACATAGTAAGCCAAAACTCAGCTTCTTCTCACTCAGAGATAGCTAAAAAAAATAAGTACTTACATAGTAATCTGCTTTTTTGATAGCATGGCAATGTCACTCTGAGATGAACAACTGCATAGATTGAGATCACATCTACCTACTATATAACAATTTGTTCAAATTCACCAAGTTGCCATTCAACTCCCTCTGGGAACCAGAAGCAGATACTTCAGACCATGGCGGGTCACTCTCAGGCCCTGAACCTAGAATTTCTTTTGTCTAGGCACTCACGAAGCTGAAGAGCCCACCTCAGAAAACCGTGACAGACGGAAGCAAAATATATAAACCAAACGAATACAATGCCGAGAACATAGGATCCCAGAACTGCTGGGGCTTCCTCCAGGGGCGCTCACACAGAATTTTAATGATTGACCTTTTGTGCTGTCTGAAAAGCTGGAACTCTCTATCAAAACTATAGCATGAAAAGTAACATGAGCACTTATCCATCAGCTCTGTCCTAAGAATCACAATAAAATGAAAGTTGCTTAAGCCTTAAAGAATAAAAGACAAATCCAGATAATTGGAAATTAAGGTTTGTTGACAAATTGCAGTTTCTGCTGGAGTTTCTAAATATGAATAATTTGCAGTGGGTAATCCCTTCCTGGTTTGCTTTCTTCAAAGAATAGATTGGTTTTGTTTTTCTCAGATTCAGGATTTGAAATAATTCAGCTACCTTCTGTGAACCAAGATTATTCTGTAAATAGCTGTTCAATAATCCATATTATTACTTTTCTCTCAACTAAAAACATCCTGATAGAAATACTAGAATGCAAGAGTGCAAATGCTTGAATCTTTTAGCACTGTTAGAAGTAAAACTTGATTGCTAATATTAGTATGGAAAACAAGCACTATTATGGCTAAAGTAAAATCCTGTATACATTCTAATAGATATGTGTTGCATGCAAAATTAACTTTCACAAAATTTTCATTCTTCCACAAAAAAAAAATATTTTTGCATCTTGCAGGGCCTCATGGATGTAAACAAACTAACAAACTGTAAGTCTGAGCAGAGGTCACTTTTGGGTGTGACTTATCAGTCTTTAGAGCAGCATCTAGGATTTTATGTGTTTTTTTTTTTTTTTTAAGGAAACATTTAGCTTTCATAAAAGCCTTGATTTATTTCATAGGCACAAGAAAAATGTAAAGGAAAGCTTACAAGAACCCTGTGCCTTACGAATTTATGTTGCATATTTCTCACAATACCCATATCCCTAGTAGCTTCTGGAAGGACCTACAGCTTTGTATGGAAGAATGCGTGACTGGAAATTCCTCAAGTCTGCAAAGGCAGCACTGCCACCTGGTGTTCCTCCCAGACAGCCGAAGAGACACTGCTGGTACAAGCTTTTCTAACCAAAAGGATGTTTGCCATTTCACCTGTTTCTTGCTATCACCTTGGATTTTGATAATCTCCCTGCTTGTTATTAAGACACTTACTGCCACTTCATTTTATTCTTGTTAGCAGCAAACCAACTGCAACACTGGAGAATCTAATCCAGCCATGCCTCCTGTTTCCTTAATATCTAATTTTTCATAACTGGAATCCAAATTACTACTAGACTATCTTCCTACCCATCAGCAGTTTACAAAAAGCAAATTATGGCATTTTCAGCCATTTCCTTTCTGAGCAAGTATGCTTCTGTACACAAAACATGACCTTGTTCTTTCCCATATCCTTTTCAGCACTGAGGTTTCCTAAGCCACTCATGCTAAACTGAGACTGCAATCATATGCACTTATTCTCATAGAGAAGAATAAACAGTGTCTTATATGGACATGGTAAATGAGTTCAGGACTGCACCACAGTATTGCAGCAGAGAAATGCCATGGAATCTAAATCAAAACACTTTTTTTTTCTGCAGATACAACATTCTCATATTTCTGAAACAGTGTTTGAAATACACAAAGAGTAGAAGAAATTCACTCTAGCCACAGTCACCAGTTACTATCCACAGGATTGTATGTGCAAACATACAAGTGACAGCTACAGAGCAGATGTCCATGGTGCTGCCTCGTCTTTGAAAATGCTAATGCAGCTGACACTGTGTTAACTTGTTTTCTTTTTTGTGAACACAAAATGAAAATGCAAAGTATCAGGACTGCACCACAGTATTGCAGCAGAGAAATGCCATGGAATCTAAATCAAAACACTTTTTTTTTCTGCAGATACATTCTCATAACATTTCTGAAACAGTGTTTGAAATACACAAAGAGTAGAAGAAATTCACTCTAGCCACAGTCACCAGTTACTATCCACAGGATTGTATGTGCAAACATACAAGTGACAGCTACAGAGCAGATGTCCATGGTGCTGCCTCGTCTTTGAAAATGCTAATGCAGCTGACACTGTGTTAACTTGTTTTCTTTTTTGTGAACACAAAATGAAAATGCAAAGTAGTTCCTCAGAGAGCATGCGGCAGGCATCTGCTTTGGACCAAGGTCTTTAGCAGAGCAGCAGCTAAAACTTTGCGAGCCAAAGAGTCGCAAAAGGTCTTGGCAAGCCGGGCGGAAGCCAGGCATTGACTGTACGAGTGCTTGCACAACACTCTCTTTCTTTACAATGGATTTCTGTTCCCTAGGAAGTTGGTCGAAATAGGAATCATTTTTCATCTGGAGGTGACTGATTCAAACATATCCCAGGTCACTAATGTCCATGACTCCTGCCCAAAATATGCTTTCACAGAGGTGAGCAATCCCATTGACAGTAAAGCATTACAAGGTAGGACAATCTCTGAAGTATCCAGGCTACAGCCATAAGATGGTTTTGGCTTATGTAGAGTAAAATATGTTGACAGTACCAATCTGTCAGCACATGGCCAAGTAACAAAAATAAACTGATGCATATAGCGCTGAAGACAAAATCCTGATCATTATCTTCCTGCCTGACAAAAGCCCTTGAATTCCACTTGTTAATTCTTTTTGCAGCCCCATAACCTGCGTTATAATTAACAAATATCATTCAAGGATATAGAAAACTCAGGAATGAAAAATGGGAGATAAAGACTATGTATTAAGAAATTCTCTAGGATAGTTTCACCCACGGTATCAAATAACATACTTATATCTTTAGCCTAGAAACACTTTGCCAGAATGCTTTCCGTGCAATATATTCACCACAAAGATGGCAGAGTGTCATTTGCCCTGTAGTCAAGTCAAAGAAGAGTTTACCTATGAAATTCCCAAGAGGGATTTCAATAGCATACTTTAAAGTAAAACTTATCAGAAATATTTTTTCTCACAAAGAACATAAAATTTCAAAATTTCCTCCTACACAACTGTGAAGAAAATGTTATTTTAAAACACCCTTCTTAAACAGTAATGACCTATAATGCTTGTGTAACAGGTTGTTTTTTACACTGCATTACAATTATAAATTAAACCTTTTAAAATTTTAACACAGAATACAGTTTTCTAATTTCCAAACCCCAAAATATGACAATCATTAAAGTCACAGACTTTGTGACAACAAAAAAATCACCAGTGGAAAACAAACAATAATTAGGTGGGCAAATTCTGACTTGTTTCTGCATATAGGTTTGCACGCAAAAGACAGATTTTTAACATACAAGACAGATTTTGAAACAGAATCTCAGGAGCATTTTACTCCAAGGCACTCTTATGTGCATTCATGGATCATGAGCTAGTGCAAAATGATTTTACAATTAATTAATCAAATGGAGTTAAAAAAAGAAAGAAATTCTTCTCACCCAGGCTATGCTCTTCTTTTTTCCTGTTTTCCCATTTTGAGCTGTCCACATATGCCGCAGAAAGAAGAGATCTTCTACCTAAAGGAAAAAAAGCAATCTGTCATATTTATTGAGGTAGATGCCTTAAATTGCCTTTACGGTACAGTTCTTAGAAGAAGCTACTGTAACAGTCTGTACTCCCTATACTAGGACAAGCCACTACCTTTTCATTTTGAATACAGCAAAAAGTTTTCCCCAGTCGTTTTTTCTTTCAGCAAGAGACATGTTTCCCACAAATGGAAAAAAAACCAAATAACAATACAGAATAACTTTTTTTTTCTCATATGGACCCATTTTGCCAAATGCTCATATTCAGCAAAACACAGACAAAAAAGCATAAGCATAAAACCCTTGTGCATCACTAACACAATGAGGTCTAGACGGCACATGAGCATCAGAGTAAAATTTGTTGAAGGAGGAACTGGAGTTTGCAAAAATTAAGAAATGTGAAGCATTTTAAAAATAAACATTACTATGGTAATTACTATGCTATCTAGAATTCTTAGCAATTACCTTAAAACCATCAGCTGAAAATCCACCTACTGCCCGTAACGCTTTGCTACTGTTGAAAGCAGAATAATTATCTTCCTTTCCTCTACCACTCTTCTGACATGTACAGATGGCCAGCTTCTGAACATCTTTGCAGTATTTTTTCCCAAAAAGACCTGGTCCTTGGAGTCCCCCAGTCATGAGTCGGACTATATAGCTATATATATACATAGCTTTTATATATATATAAAGCTATTATACAATAGCTTTACCACTCAAAAAACAGAAAAGGTGGGTTTTTTTGAAGACAATTTTCTTTATGCTT